GCAGTCTGGATCTGAAAGCTGACATTTAGGGGAACCAAATTATGTGCTAACTTACACAACAACACTGTTTTTGCTCGAGATATAACCACAGAGGAAGAGTGTTGCGCATTTTGCGATAAAATTCGATATTTAGTGCTGTCAAACACAAGAACAAACGGTCCCTGGCTTTCAGCAAGGAATTATTGAGATACAAATCGAGCTCACATAAGACTATTCATCTTGCTCAATAACATAAATCGAGACTATTCATCTTGCTCAATAACAAAGTGGACATCTGTTTTTAAAACGCAAAGAGAAGTGTAAGTGCGTGTGCAGTTTTGTTGTGATAAGGTTCAGCCTCAACACTGAGATGGTTTCACAATGCTGCAAGGTTGCAGCAGAGCACATCTTCCATTGTGGTCATTCTCTCTTTTTCTCTCATTCTCAGCTGTCACAGGTTTGCGGTGCTTTTCAACAGAAAACAGGAAACAGCTGAAGCGTGTTCGCGAGTTCTCAGAAAACACAAACATTTGCAGTTGTTTGCGATCGGAGGGCTTTAAATTTGCCACGTGCTAAGTTTACTGCCGTGCTCGTTCTTTATCACCTTTACCCGTCTGATATGTCATAAACTGATCAAGTTTCTAATTAGTTCCAGAGTAGGCTACATCAAAACAGTTTGACAGATAAATTCAAAAGAATAGGCTTGGCTGCTGAGCCGAACAGTCAGGGGATGTTTACCAAGGGTTTGCCCTTCCTTAAACTCCTCATTCAACACAAGGCCAAAGTACAACAAATCCACACACAAAACTTTTAAACTCTGATCGGTACAAGAACATCATTCCATTTTTGAGCCAGAGACAAAATAATAGGCTAGCTGACATTTACAGTACTGTTAAAAACAATCTAAATGGGTGAATCACATGAAATCTGTCAAGAATATGTCCAGGTAATATTTCACCCAAAACTCAAAGGAAATTAATGAAAATATATTTTGCTTAAAGAAAATAAAGCCTATTTTAGGGCCATTAAGACTGTTTGCATTTTTACATTATTTTAATGAAAATTATGCACATTTTTCATCACAATTCTAATTATCATAATGCAAAACAAATCAAACAAATTTAAATATTAGTAAAAGATAACACAAGTGAACACAACATGCAGTTTTTAAATGAAGGTTTTTATTATTAAGGGAAAACAAAATCCAAAACTACATGGCCCTGTGTGAAAAAGTGTTTGCCCCCTAAACCTAATAACTGGTTGGGCCACCCTTAGAAGCAACAACTGCAATCAAGCGTTTGCAATAACTTGCAATGAGTCTGTTACAGCGCTGTGGAGGAATTTTGGTCCACTCATCTATGCAGAATTGTTGTAATTCAGCCACATTGGAGGGTTTTCAAGCATGAACCGCCTTTTTAAGGTCATGCCACAGCATCTCAATAGGATTCAGGTCAGGACTTTGACTAGGCCACTCCAAAGTCTTCATTTTGTTTTTCTTCAGCCATTCAGAGGTGGACTTGCTGGTGTGTTTTGGATCATTGTCCTGCTGCAGAAACCAAGTTCGCTTCAGCTTGAGGTCACGAACAGATAGCCGGAC